CTCGATTTGGTTTCCAATGCTTGGTTGGTAAGAAGAGCATTTGAACATATTTCCTTCACTCCACCGACCACTCAAGCTTCTTCATTCGGTGCTGATCAATCCAATGTTCACCTCATTCGGTCACTGCATACTCAGCAGATTCCTTCAGGGCAGCTGTCCAGACGAGAGCTACCCACCGTCCCATGTCAGCAGCCAAATTCCACTTATTTCCTCTCTACCGTTTGGTCTAATAGCTAGTTAGTTGACCTCCAATTGGTTTTAATTCCCCAAGCACCCAGTTTGTTTGTTAAATTTCTAATGATTGGGTCTTGGTTGCATGGTATTTAATCTGAAATTCGGTGGTTAGTTTGGTATTTTCATCTTAGTTTATTTGGTTGCCATGAACCCGAAATTTTATTGCCTCACACCTTGACTCAAAATTTTCCGTTTGTTCCAATTTTGCATTTACCTTGAAAACTTTCTAAATATATCTATCCAGTAGATTTTCTTACACTTGATCTTAAAGAAATTCAACTAGACGTATCACTTATTCCACTATTCAATATATTCAAAGGTCACAAACGGTAATATGCATATCGGATGTTTATTTGATTCGTGTAACTAATATTTAGAATAAATTCTTCTTGTTAAAAATATATATATATTTATATATATATATGTTTTCCTACACTATTCTAGGATATTGCTAAATCCTCAATTTATAGAACAATTAAATTTTGTCATTTAATTTGACCAATTATTTGTTATCTATAATATTTCAAATGATGAAATAAGGGTAATAATGGTTAAGTTTATTCAAGATTTCTCTCGAATTATCACAATCTCTCGATACATCTAAATTGTGCCCAGTTAAATCTCTCATCATTCTTGAGATCACAAGTATTTGATTGAACCCTCTAAAATTTTAAGTGATTTCAATTATGTCATACAAATTCTAAACTACTCTCGTGTCTAGCCTAAATATGTTTATTTATCTAATGCACGATTGTATATTCATATTTATCTACCTAGTGCACAGTTGTATATTCTTTTTCAGTTCAATACAGATCCTAAAAGCATATCTAAACATAAATATCTAGTTAAAACAAGTTAAATAAATTAAGGCAAAAGAAAAGAATTTAACTAGGATAAATAAACAATACTCTTTCATAAAACTTTAGCCCTAGAGACAAATTAATTCAACATAAACATAGATAAAACCATTGATAAATCCAAAAATTCAAGCAACAAATACAATTTTGGAGAATAAAGTAAGAAAAACTTCTCAATCTTTGATGCCCTAATCCCCATGTTGATTGCTCCTTGACTCTTGCTTGCATATCTCTTGATCTTGATCTCTCAAGAACAAGTTATAAAGATGAACTAATGCTAACTTAGTGTTTTCTAATTCTAAAAACATTCTAAATAACTCTCCTATTTATAGCTTTCCAAACAACTAGCCTAAATATAGTAGGAATTAGTTTCTTAAAGCAGAAAAAGGTCACGTTTGAGTGAAAATCCGATAAAGTTCAGCTCAAAATTTAGCCTAAAGACCGGCCTTGGATATTGGACAAAGCTAAAAAATCAATCAAATTAGAAGAAATCCGGTTTAATGACCAAGCTAATGTTTAGTGCTAGATGGGATCCACTCGTAAATCCAAGAGATTTATCTGCGAATTCATGTAAACCTAACAACCCTCCTTACTTCTTGTTTCTTCTTGCCTATTGTTTTTTCGTATGATTCACCTCGTTCCCAAACTCTCAAAACCAGTTCATTTTCTCTCAAATTGAGGTCTTCATCTATTAGAACAATATAAGATCAAAATTAAGCAGTTTCCATTCAAATTATAGTTCAAATATCATAATTAACTAACAAAATACACATATAAAATACTACAATTCATGCATCATCAAAAAGCAAAAACACCTTTTTTTTTAAAAAAAAAAGGTTAGCTTTTACATAATTGGTGCTATAATTTGGGCATTTTGGACTTTGAATTGACTTAACTCTTTCACAAATCACAATAAAGTACTCACACTTATTACGTAAGGTAATTTGATTGAAGTGTAAATTAAACACCAAAAGCCTTGTTGGGTTGTGATATCCATAAAGAACAAGCGAACATTCCTCATAATATGCGACCAAATTTTATCAATATACCCCTAAAAAATAAGTTATTATTTAATGGTTGGAAAGTTGGAATTTCAACGTCAAGCCAATATAAATGGAGAAGAATCAAAATGGAGGAGGAAAAGACAATTTTTGAGGCTATTTTGTCACCAAATTCTTGTCTTTCCTAAACCCAATGTCACATGGCAAAGACGAGATAGCGTGTACTACTTTGTTTTATTTAGTTTATAGACAAATTTAGGGAAAATAGTTGAATACATCCTTCGTATTTTGTTAAATAAATTTTTTCGTCTCTCACTTTTAAAGTGTTAACTTTATGTTCTTTACAAATTTAAGTTAATAAAACTTGGTACCAATTTAAGTTTTCGACCAGTTTTTGGCCTGAAATCACCATGTTACCAATATACTATCATTTTTTATGTACAAAAAAGTTAGATGTCACTTTTTAGTGGTATAAATGAACACGGACTAGACTCGATCCCCTTTTTTGGAAAAAAAGAATATGGTTTGGACCGAATTTTAATTTTTTAGGGATAAAAATGAATATGGATCGAATTATTTGTTTAATTATAAATGGGATCTAACTTTTTGCTTTTGGAAAAATGATCATATGTCGGTTACATGATGGATTCAAGGTAAAAAATAATAAAAAATCTGGGTTGGAATCGAATATTTTTTACTTGATTTTGTAAGGGATGTAAAGTTATTATTTAAAAAGTGAAGGATGAATAAATTCATTTAGCGAATATTTGAGGAACATTTTGAAGGATTTTTTTTCCATAAATTTATACAATCTAAATTATTAGTGTGTGTAATACTTTTATAAATTCTACAAAATTTTATTAAATATTTCATTGTTGTTTGCCACATAATAGCACTTTCTTGACTAACTTCGGTTTCGTTTGAATTTCTCATTTTTTGAAAAACAAAATTTTCAAATATAATGCTACTGTAATACACAAATAAAAATAACTCCAAAAATATCGCATCCATACAATATATCAAAACAACTCCGAAGATACAAAAAAAATAAAAAAAAACCTACACCATTTTCTTCTTCTATCTATCACCACCACCACCGCCACCATCCCCTCCTTTCTCTTCTTTCCTCTCCCTCCCTCTTCCCTTCTCCCCTAAATTTGGCCTCGACCAAAGACTGTGATCTGGCCACGGGGCCGCAATATCGTGACCAGAGAGGGGAAGAGGAGTGGTGAGGCATGGCGGGAGAAGGGGGGAAAGGGGAAGCGAGGAGAGGAGGAAAGAGAGGGAGAAGGAACATGGGAGGAGCAAAGAGATGGAGATGGAGGAGGAGGCAGGGGAAGGGGGAGGGAGAAAGAGAGGGAGGAAAAGGGAGGGGGTGATAGCGGTGTTGGGTAGTGGTGGTAGGTTTTAAAAAAATATCAAAAAAATTTTAAATTTTAAAAATACCCTAAAATTTATCCCAAAAGCACCTCAAAAAATATCACGAAAAACATCTATGGTAAAAAGTTTTTATATACACTATTACACTAAAATATTTCAAAAACCACCCCCAAAATAGCAAACCGAAACGGAGTATAAACCGTTCCTACTACATAGAAAAGAAAAAAGAAGTATATAGAAAAAAAATCTCACATATTTAAAAAAGGCATAATTTCATAAATCACCTTGAAGTTTCTAACAATTTCACTAGCCTCCCCTAAAGTTTGTAAAATTACACAAACCTCTCCTAATATTAAGATTTTGATAACAAAATTAGTCCAATTAGAAAAAGTAACATTAAAAAAGTACTTTAAAAAGAGAGAAAAAACTTTTATTTCATAAATACCCCTCAGCCATGTATATAAATTGTATTAGTAAAAGAATGGAAATAATTAAAAGTTAGAAACAATTAATACACACATTTTACCACTCAAAAAGTTCATATTCAATAAATTAAAAACATAAATAAGCAACAAAACTACACTAATGATCAGAGGATTTAGCAAAACAGACTAGTCATCTTTTTTTGACATGATGTTTGCTACAACTCTTGTGATTTTGAAAAGAAAAATTTTCTAATTTTGTCTTTCTTTTCCCTCCTTTTTCCTTTACTAATATCTAACGATTAAGTGATAAGAGCACTAATTAACTATTAGTAACTAATTAATGGAAATAACTGTTGAAAATTTCTTTGATGATGAACGATCACTTGTAATTACAAACTACATCAATTAATAAATCTAATGACATTATTTTGTGATTGATAAAATTTGACAATAACCAGAAATCAATTGTACATAATGTAAGAAGAAGGGTTTTGGCAGAAGGAAAAATACAGGCCAAAAGAAGGTTTTTAAAATCAAAAGAATCATAACAAACATCATATTAAAAGATATCACTAGTTTATTTTGTTGAATCTTATGATCATTAATGTAGTTTTGTTGTTTATTTGTGTTGTTTAACTTATTAAATTTGAACTTTTTGAGTGGCGAAACTGTGTGTATTGATTATTTCTAACTTTTAATTTTTTTATTCTTTTTTTAATACAATTTATGTACATGCATAAGGAGTATTTAAGAAATAAAAGTTTTATCTCTCTGTTTAAAGTATTTTTTTAATGTTATTTTTTCTAATTGAGCTAATTTTATTATTAAAACCTTCACCTAAGGAGAGGTTTGTGTAATTTTATAAATTTCAATGGAGTCGAGTGAAATTGTTGAAAACCTTAGGAGAGGTTTCTGAAATTATTCCTTCAAAAATACCAATTATAAAAAAATTTGCATGAAATTATACAACGTGCTTTTCCAAGTGCTCACACGTGCCAAAGAAGCCCCTCCGTTCTTTACTCCACTTGGTGTCCCCATCCACCGCTTGAAAAAAGTTCCACTGAGATGAGAAATAGAAGAGTACAACTACTGCTCGCAGTATGCTTAAAAACACGCAGAGCACCCACTACCAAACAAGAACGATCACTTGTTACTGTTTTATCCTAAAACCCTAACCCCCGAACTCCCCCAAAATCTCCAAAACCCTACCATGCCTTTTCTTCTTCTATCGTCGTGATTTTATTCCATCGACAGAATCCAGAAATGGAAGTCGAACCATCCGAGGAAGAATCCTCCAAAACAGTAGCAAATTTATTAAGCGATATAGCGATAAAGGGTCCGTTACCATCATCAGTAGCTAAGTTATCGGGGTCTTCTAGGGGCATTCCTTCGGAGAAAGACTTCCATTTCTACAAAAATTTCAATGAATTCAAGACGCCCATCAAAGAAATTGACGATAAATCGAAAAGCTTGCTGGAGAGAATTGGTGTTTCGTCGCAATTGTGGGGGAAAGCGCTGGAATTTCCGCGGAATTTGGATTTTGATGATATTGATGCGTATGATTGGTTGGTGAACATCAATGATGATGTTTTGGAGAAGCTTGATGCCTCACTCGATGAATTTCGCGTAGGAAGAGGTGAGGAGAGTGGCTTTCAAGTGGTACAGGGGAGGAAGAATAGGAGAGGAGTGACTAGTGGTAGTGAAGAAGCGGTCAGAGGAGTGCAGGTGGCTGTGAAGCCCAAGCCTAAAGTGCCATTTCATATAGCAACGATTCCGAGGCCTCAGGATGAGTATAAGTTTATTGTGAATAATTCCAATCAGCCCTTTGAGCATGTTTGGTTGCAGAGGAGTGAGGATGGTTCCCGTTTTGTTCATCCTTTGGTGAGTAAGGTTTTCAACTTTTTTATGTGATAATTGATGTGCATATCTTTCATCATGTGATTATTAGGTTGCTTTCTTTCTTGGATTTTGCTATTTCATTTTGTCTTGAGCACATTTTGTTCTTTGTTTCTTGGATTTGTTGGAACCTATATTTACGTGTTTGAAGTGTCAATTTTTGGATATCAATTCATATGTTTGCGTTCTTCCTCCTCTGTAGCAGATAAATAAGAGCAAATTAACAAATACAAATGCTAATACTTCTAGATATGCACAAGATGCTGCACTCAGCCATCATTTGCTGATGTTTTCTTGCTTGGGTTGTAGTGTATAGTAGAACAGTCAGATGGCAAAGAAAGGTTTCCTAAATTTAGATGCTCAATCATGTTTTGGTGCTTATCCATTTAGTTCAGGAAATAAGACTAAGTAGAATCTCACGTACATCTATGTATACGCTGGTATATCAAGAAGATTTAACTATGTCAAAGTTATAAATTATCCATTTTCTTTGTTTGGGTCCAAGTTTTAAGTGTAAATTTTATTGACAGGGGAAGTACTATGGATGAGCATGGTACAGTTCTCAAAAGAAGAAAAATTGAGACTAAAGGTGGTTGGTCTTATTCATGCATGTGGTGAACTCTTTATATGGAAGTTAGGTTTTTGGGTCTTAGAGGACTTGCAGGAGTTACATTTCAGTCCATCTCACAGATGCCTTGTGGCAAAGGATATGTAATATGGGTTTCAATGGTCCAAACGGTATGATTGTTTGGAATTAAGATATCTGGTATATCAGATTTTTGGTGTGGAGTAAATGATGCAATAGTTAGGTCTGTTTCAATTTGTATCGTCAGAAAGTGAAATTTCCTTTGTAAAATGTCTTCAATGTTTGCTATTTTTAAAGTTCCTTTTGTGGTTGCCTGTGACTATTGGCTTATTGATCGATGGGGTATTCTGTGTCAATTAGCATGAAGTTAAACCCATTCTGGGACTTTCCCTCTAGATGGGAAAGGCTAGTTGTGCGGGCTATGACATTGTATTTGTTTTCAAAGCATTTAAGTTACAAATGTTTCTTTATCATTTTACATGTTTGATGTACTGTCAATCAATTATAATGTTTGAGGGATTGCTTACTAAGTTATGTAAGTTGCATCCATGTAACCCCACTTTTAAGTCTTGACTTTTTGACCTGTTGTAGGTCACCTCCCATTTAATGCCTCTGGGATCCTATTATACTAATTTCTTTTCATGTGCTTTTTGGACTTTTACCTTTTAGTATGGCTCAGCTTTATGTTGTTGCTTTGAATTGAAGTAGCGGGTTTTGTTATTACAGTTTCATCCTTCTGTTGGTCTTTCTTGATAGCATCTTTGTTGAGTCTCCCTTATATGCAGTTTACCTGTTTCTAATTTGCTCATATCTTCTAAGTGCAGTGACTTTCACTTTTGACAGATTTTGCGTGGCTGTCTGGTATCATGACACTCCTTTTTTGCCTGTTGTGTTCGTTGTTACAGGGATTCTTATTCCTGTTATCTAAGTTTGTATGAAACAGCCAAAGTAGAGGTTAATGTAATTTTAGGAATGTGTGATCCTCAAATTGTTCAAAATCTTTTGGAATGGTAGTCTTTTTTCCTAAAATAATAATGCATGTAAGTAGTGTCCTTAGTTGTTGAGATTTTAAGTTAGAAAATAGTTAGGCTTGTGTATATTGATTGCTTAAAGTAAAGAGTTTGGGGCTTGTGGCAGAGCTTTATAGGATATTGGGATTGTGCAGAAGTTGGATTCCAATAGTTGGAGGTCTTCAATTTGTATGCAGAAAAAGTTGCTAAATTGATGCTGTCTTAATTGCCAAATTAACTAATTACATTAGTGGATGAACTAGTGATATAATATGCCACTGAAAGTTGAAGCATTAGTTACAAATTCATTATTACTCTGCTGGATTGCTGGAAATTCTTTGGGATTCTAAATTGAGGATATCTTATTATTTTACTACCTGCTGTCGCAAAAGTAACTTTTTTGAAGCAGCCAGGAGAACAATAAAGTAGGCTCTGCCATGGAAGCTGGTATGTAATCCACTTGCATATCATTTTGCTCAAAAAATCTAGCCTCTAGCCTTTTAGTGCTCGCCATGCTTAGATATGGGACAAAGTCTTTATATACTCCCAATGCTCCTTTTTATTTTATGTTTAGTTGGCTGAGTTCATCTAGGTTTTGAAGTTCTTGGACTTGATGTTTTATGAGGATACTTGGTGGTTTTGCTTATAACAGTTGATTTCAGTTCTAGAGTTCCATGTTTTTGGGCCACTATTGCTTGATCTATGTTTGTGAAAACATGGACGCTAATTCATATTTTCTTGTATGCAGGAGAATCATTCATTCTTGGACTTTGTTGATAGAAGTACCAGCAACGTCACACCTGTAAAACCTCATCCACTAGAGTCTACGCCTTTCATGCTTGTAGAAGATGTCAAAGATTTGAAGAAGTTAGCTGCCAAGTTGAAAGTTGCAGATGAGTTCGCGGTAAATTTTTGAGCATGATGATTTTTCTTCCTACTTGTTAGTTACTAAGGACATGTTATTCAGACTCTAAAACTGAGGGTTGTTTTAAAAATATTTTTAGTTTTTAATCGAGTTCTGAATTTAAAGTGAGAATTGGTACTCTTCATTGTTGGTTTTGATGCTCTTCAATTCTCGTTTCCAAGTGAGAATTGGTACCCTTCATTGTTGGTTTTATTTTTTCCCTGAGTGTCTATTTAGTCCTATTGTATTTGTTTGGCCTATTTCATTGCAAGATTGCTGAAAGAGTTGAACTTTAGGGGAATGTGATAGTACGGGAGTCTTGGAAAGTGCACTTGTTTGAAAAGAAATTGAACCTGCTGATGTTTAAAGAATTAATACTTGCATCAGTATTACACATCCATGTCTGATTGCTGCATTTCTTCTTTCCTGAAGGAATAGTACGAGAGTCTTTGAAAATGTACTTGTTTGAAAAATAATTGGACCTTGCTGGGTTTAGAAGAATTAATACTTGCCTCGGTATCGCACATCCAAGTCTGCTTCCTGCATTTCTTCTTTCCTGTGGGACAGTTTATTCACATAATCTGCTACACATGTCTGGCTTTATATGAATGTTTAGAAGCATGCTTGTGCCCAACCTGTGGAATCTGTGTAAGACCTGAGTTTCATTTTACCCAAGAGTGAAAAGTTTTGACTGCTACATTGAATATTACTGGTTGCTGCAGTGTTTCAACTGTAGACTGTCTTAGGATCAATGATAGCCTATACTGTGCCCCTATAAAGCTATATAATGCTGTGTAATTTGTACAAAGAATACTTTGTGTTTGTTGTTTTTTAACCCCCACAAATGTTGGGATATGGAGCTAGAATAGTTTGAAGATTGTATATTATGATGGATTGTTCAATGCTTAATTTGAATAATCTTGTTGTGTGTTGAATTTCACATAAGGGGCTATTGCTGAATTTGTTGTATTAATCTCGTTTCAAATGGGTTTGATGATTATGAGGGAGGTTTGAATGGGCGAAAACTTAATAGATCTATTTGAAAAGGTCAAGAAAGAAGATCAGTATAGTGCTTGGCCTTTTTTTTTTGGGGGTTGGGGGGGGGAGTTCTAAAGGGATAAGAATGAAAGATGAATATTATGGTTTGGTTGTTTATATCTTGCGTCTCAGTTTTTTAAAATAGCAAATCTTTTTTTTTATTCCAAAGATTACATTTTGATGGTGAGGAAAATAGCTTCCATAGTGTCTAATAAGTCATTACTAATTGGCATGGTTCCCTGAGTATTACGACACAGCTGTCTAATAACTTCTTTTGTCCTGCCAGATAGGAATCATATCTTTATTTTATTTAAACTGAAATTATTTGTTAAAGAAGGTAAACTGAATTCAATAAAATGATAAAGCAAGTTTTGCTTTTTTTTTTTTGGATTTTATTCTTAGGATGGATATCAAGAGATGTTCTGTCTGTATTAAGTTTGCATGAAACTGATTCCTTTTTGGATACAAATGTTTTTCACAATAACAAACAGAAGCAGACATGAACCGTCTGTGCCATTTTCTGCCAAGGGTAAAGTTGGGTCTTAGACATTTGTTCCGAGTCTTCAGCTTCTGCATGGTTCTTTGATCATGGGCATTCAGTTTTCTACACTTTTGGCTTTATATTGATTTGTCTACACCTTCCAGATTCAACATTAGATGGTTCTATTTGAGGCTGCGCCTGAAAACTACCTTGCTGTGAAATGAGCTACATGTCAAAAAGATATATGTATACATACTCGTATGCATTAAAAAAGCACACAGGGAGGCTATTCTGTTCTTTCAGTTTTGTAAATATGGGTGCTTGCTTTGTCATGTCATCTTTGAGAATGGTTGATCACTTGTCAAATTCATTATTTTGGAAATTTGTGCGCGTATTTACTTGCACCTAATGTTGGTATTTAGGATAAAATTTTTTGTGTTGTGTGCATGTTTCTTGCTGACTTTGAGCTGCACTTATTCCTGATTAATATTAGTGACTCGTTACTAAAGAGAATTGGATAGTTGGGTTCTTTATCTTTTATTTTGCTTGTTGATTAATTTTTGCTTTATTTTACCTTCTCATTATCCTTTTAAAAAAAAACTTGTATAGAGGCTTTAGGATATTTATTATTGCCTTAATTTCAAGTTGTTTCGATGTTCATGCACATCCTCAAGAGGACCATTTTTTTCTGTATCAACCTCAGTTTTTCAGTGTTAAAATTTTAGCAAGCTTTTAAATGTTTAGATGTTATAGTATGTTCTTATAAGCGCATTTTTGTAATCAGTTTCATAATTAAGCACTAGTTTTGGTGTGCCTCATATATAGGTTGATCTGGAACATAATCAGTACCGCTCTTTTCAAGGACTTACATGCCTAATGCAAATATCTACCAGAAGTGAGGATTTTGTGATAGACACGCTTAAGCTTCGCATTCATGTTGGCCCATATTTGAGGGAAGCTTTTAAAGATTCCAACAAGAAAAAGGTGAAGTTTCTGGATGTTTTTCACTCTGACATTGCAGCACTCTTGACATATTACTGTGCTTATTAGGTGATGCATGGAGCAGATCGAGATATTATATGGCTTCAGCGGGACTTTGGCATATATGTCTGCAACTTGTTTGACACTGGGCAGGTTGTTGGCTTAAGCTGCTATTTTTTGAACCAAGGTCTTTATTTGAATTTCTTTCTTGGGTTTTCAAGTTGCGCACATTTGTGATATTGTCAAAAAATATGGCCTATCTGTTGATAACTTTCGCTATTCCTTTCCTATTGGGATCTCTTATAGCAACCAGGCAGTAAGAAATAGTTACTTATCATGTGTGTTTGTCTTGATTTTCGATTGTGCCTTTCGTCATGGTGGCTTGAGTAATTATGTCACTATGGTACTTATGGGAATCAAAGGCATGCATTTTTCAAAATTACCAATTAGTCCTATTTGAAATTTCTTTGAAAATTGTATTTATCTTTTAGTACTATTTAACTTTATAGGATCATGGTTAAATTTGTAGTCCTAATTTCTTTTTATAGAACTACCTTTCAATGGTTTACCCTTAAGAGCTTCTAATGTTGAAATAGTACCTACTTTGTTGGAAGGAGAAGAATTATGTGGTGACATATGAAAAAAATTACTTCAGTCTTCGAGCATTTGCATATTTAACTCAAACTTGTGTTCTTTATATGATTGGGAACTAATAGTTTTTAAGGGGACGAGTTCTCACGTAATTGTTTTGAATTGAAAATGTAACTTGGAACCTAAAGCATTTGAACTTAAAAGGTGGATTGGACAAAAGAATTTCACCAAGATAACTAGGATGTTTTGGGGGTTGCTATGAAAAGTTGGCATTTTGGTCCCTAAAAAATGTGAAGGGTTCTAATGCCTTGTTAAGTTTGTAACATGACTTAATTTTAGTTGCCAACAATATTTGGTGCTGCTGCAGGTAGGTGCAACTGGTGTAATAGTACTTGGTCTTTCTTCACTTTTTTCGTCTCTGTGAATTGATTTAGTTTAACATCAAAAGGCTTGAAGAGATGGGTTCTGTTAGTAAGAAGGTATTAATGTTTTAAAACAGATGGGTGCACAAGTTCTTTGAAGGGCTTACTGATGTTTTAGCGGGCTGACCATGCGTTAGGTTTCATTTATCTTGCATTGCCCCCCGTTTTTTCTTCTCTTCTTTCCGATGCTCCCCAAGAATGAGTGCCCTGGATTGATAGTCATCTTCAGGTAGTGTGAGTGAATATTGTATGATCTGAATCTTTGATTGTTCAGATAATATGAATTTCGGATACAAATGGTCAGTGATTGTTCAGAGATTTGAGGAAATATAGCCAGGTTTATTGATTATTGCATTCTAGGGTGGGTAGATACCTTAGATTAAGGGTCACAGAAAAAGGTGGAGATTTTACCTGCCTGAAAGCCTTGCATGTAAGAAGGTCAAATCATTATGTTCGTGGAAAGTAGCATCTTATCTGACGCTGGATGCATGGGATATGAGTTATCATTGCAAGAGCTTTACCACATATGAGGTCCTATAAATGATGGAGCAAAAGATAGGTAAGATCTAGCCTATTAGTGCTAGTGGAAGAACGGGAGAATGGTAGGCATGTTTCAGGGCTGTGAACAGTAACGTGAGGAATAAGGAGAAAAAATCACACAATTAATTAAGAAAACTCAAATCGTTATTCATCAATCTGACTCTGCCCTGAACAAAGTAGAAACATTAATTTTTTGCAAGCATTTATAGAACTTTTTAGGAACTTCCCTATATGGTAAATAATTAGAAAAGACAATCATGACACGATTGCTGGAACTTTTGTGTGAACAAGTAAAAGAGAAATAGCCTTGAGATCCATAATTCGAGACTACTAAAACTCAGAATGAAACTGTGATGCCTTTCTATTGACGCAATCTTCCTCCCAATAAGGCTGCTAATTTCAACAGGATGGCTTTTTGATGTTCGAGGAAAAGCATGAAAATTATTAGGTGTAGGTTTGCTCAAAATTTGTGTTGAATGCGCCATTCTCTCCTGGTTGGAAAAAAACTCGCCCTTGAGTTTTAGAGAATTGTGGAATAAAGAACTTGAGGGTCTGAAACAAGTAGAAAGGAGAATTGCAGTTTTAAATGATTTTTTCTTGCCAAGGACAAAGTCAATTGTTGGAGTGAAATACAGAAATTTTTTGTGGAACATGTGACGCTACCACGTCCTCATTCGTATACTCTGTTATGTTAAACTCATTCTCCTTGGCTGTAACAAGGCTTCCCATAGACTTAGTTTCTGAAACTTTTTTCACAAGAGAATCCTTGCCTGCGTCCATCTTAGTTCTATCTTCAAAATTTTGAAGAGCCACTTTTGCCATATTCTTGACAAACTTGTCAAGGTCAGTGGTCAATTCTGAAAGTTTAGGTATAGTTTTAATTCACTGGAAATTCATCAGCAGCCAAAACGTTATGATATTCGCAGCTTTGGTAAGAGGAGCATTAACCAGAATCTGACTTTCTATCGTTTCTGCCTGTTGGATAAATGGGAAAGAGTGCTCTTCTTGCTGTCCAAATGGCATGACATCCTGGTTTGAAGCTACAGAAGTGTAAGACTGCCAGCTTCTTGTGAGAGGTTCCTATGCAATTTGGATTTGATGTGATAGTGGAGTAAACTTTAACATTCCCATTTAAGATATGTTGTTTTCTGCAAGAATATCTTTTGATGACGATAAGAGGGCAGGTAGTCTTCTTAGAGTAGGCCTCTCATCTCCTTCCAAGTATAATTATGTCCTGTGTTGCATTGCATCTTGTCTGACCAATAGGCCACTACATCTTAGCCCTCCCAACCAGCTTTGCTTGGCAAATAGGTTTTGTTACAATCAGCAAGATTATGGTAGTTGAAGAATATCCCAGAGAAGCCAGCCATCTATAGAATATTGTAGGATGACCTAAGCCATCATAACATGAAACAATTATGCTGATGTGGTAGATGAAAAATCAGGCCATCTACCTGATCATATAAATAAAGGAAGAAAAAATATGGCTGATGCGGAGGAAGAAAGTTTTGGCTGTGGATACCAAACTGATGTAGGACAAGATAGCTGAGATCTTGACCACTAGTGCTAGATGAAGAATGGGAATGGGATATCATGGGGCTGTGAACAGTAATGTGAGGAAAACGAGGGGGAAAGAACAAAACTAGTACACCAAGAAAACTCATCTTTGTTCATTAATCTCTCTACCTAGAATGACTTATTTTTGTGTACAATTAAATGTCCAAAATATCCCTAGGACCTAAAAGTCTAGAAATTACTACTACTTAGGGAATAGAACTACGATGAACATAAATATAGTTAATTGATGTATTCTTGCTTCAAATGAGGCTGCTATTGTTTCAATTCAGTTGTTTTACGTGTTTTAGCGACTTCTAGAAGCTAGTTTCTTCACTTGATTTCCAGGTGCTATAACGTCAATCTGTTTTATGGCTGTGCAATTAGAAATCCATTTTCTGCACCTATGCTGTTGAATGAGCAGCTCCTTGATTGGTATGTTAATTCTTTTGTTATTGGTGCTATGATCCAGTTACTAAGATGTATTAGAGAATGAATCTCTGGATTTTAGGTGTCAATTTTAAACTCTCTAAGTTGTTTCTGTTTCTTTGATTTCTGGTTTAGTGGTACTCTAGTTCTTGTAAAGTAAGCAAAAAGATCTGGTTAATGGTTCTCAAATTACATGCCAAGAAATAATGAGTAAAATTCTGCTGCTTTGTAATAATATGTATAGTAAAAAAAAGAAAAATTGATGAAAAGGACATTGAGTGCTTTTGGATTTCCTAATCCCAGTAGAATATGGCGTTGATCCACCTTTATGCGACCTCATCATTGTCCTGTTATGATAAAAATTTGCTAGGTTTTCTATTACTATGTTGATGTAGAATTTTCTCTTTTATAGGCCTCAAGGGTATTGAAATTGGAAAGGAACAGTCTGGAATATTTGTTGCACCATTTCTGTGGAGTTACTGCAAATAAGGAGTAAGCATGTACTACTTGCAGCTAGCAAATGTTTGGCAGTATAAATGATTTTCTGCCCTAGAATTGTGCATTCTTTTCCCTCCCTACTTTCTCCAGCACAAATATATCTGATAATACCTTCAGGTTGATCAGCATACTTTTTGCAGATACCAAAAAGCTGATTGGAGACTACGCCCCCTTCCTCATGAGATGCTCAGGTACGTCTGTGAAAGGGATATGTGGTCATTCCTTTCCTTTATTAAGCTGTGTTGCCGTGTAAGACACACAATAGTTATCAAGACTAGACATTGTAGTCAGTTCTGCTATTTGGTTCATTGTTGCCTATCAGCAGTAAAGTTGAGCTTATTGTTTTGTTTGTGTCTCTAAGTTGGTTTTTTGTCAGCAAGGTATTAGCTGGAACACAACTGTTAAGGTACTTTCAATGTGAACAATACATGAAAGGCCCAGTTGCTACTTCCCGAAATTAACCCATGTAATATCTTCTTTTAAGATTTCCTTGAAGCATTGGGTATTAGTTATCCATGTATATGGCATCCTTTCGTCTTTATGATTGCTACCCAAATGATAATTTGAATTGCAAATACAGGGTCGGTTTTTAGGTGTAATGGCATGTAGATTCTCCTTTGTTGAGGGTCTTAGTTCCTCAATCTACATTGCAGGTTTCAATTTTGCCTGTAAATTATTTAGTATGGACCTGATAATGAAGAGAGGTTAACTAAACCTTAGTATTCTCTAATCTCTCCTTCCCCCTTTCCAGTTTCCCTGTCTAAAAAATGTTAAATGTAGAATTACTGCTTCATGATTACCGTGTTTGTTTCTCTTCTACGTTCATATGATCTCAGATATCCAATATATGCTGGTATTGATTTGTGACTTCAATTTTATAGATATGCGAGAGAAGATACACACTACCTTCTGTATATCTATGATTTAGTGAGAATGAAGCTACTATCAGCATCTAGTGAGACTGAAGATGTCAATCCTCCTTTCGAAGAGGTAGGCCCTTCTCTATTTTCTTCATTGGCTACCTGAGAAAGGCAAGATGTGGTTACCATTTGCTATTTTTGCTTATCAATTCTCTGTTTTCTATATTTGTCTGGAATAACATGTTGGATAAAGGCCTATTTCTAATTTTAGTGGTCATGGGGTATGTAATCAGATTGGCATTTCATCTGAGGAGGAATTGTGCCTGTATTTTTAATGTTTTGTTTAAGGCTGAGCAGTGCCTTTTATCAACTGTGTCCCAGATTAATCAGATTAATTCTCGATATCTTACTGGAAAGTACATAGCCTTTAGTTCATAAACTGTTGTAGATAAAGATATTTGGAAAATATAACAGATTGACCAAATACTTTGGTGTTAAGAAAAATATAATTGTTAATCTTTTCTTTTTCTTCTCTGGAGTTTGTGTACTGTGAATGCATCTTGGATCTCGTCCTTATCACTACCTGAAAATCATAAAAGAAGAAATGGAGGACACTATACTACTTTTCTTTTAAATTGTCCTGCATCTTAGTGGAGAATTGAACACTTCCATGGTCCACGTGGGGATTAATAATTGATGGGCAATAAAGAACACGTCTAGGTTTTGATGTTGAAGTATGGGAAGATATGCCGTAGAAGCAGGAAATCCCAACTAATAGTGGCATTGTCATCCCCACATTTGCCAAATAGGTGCTTGCTTTGTAACTGGCTAACTAAGGTGGGCATTAGTTAACTGTTCCAGAAGAATCTGCAAATATTTGGTCAAACTGCAAAGTTCTCCCCAAGAGCGTATGCATGGGACTACTGAGACTGTAGGTGACCATAATGGATATATTTGCAGTGGTATCACACGGGTATCACACCCATTTGCAATCATACCATCTGCTCTAGTAATTATTGTAAATTACTCACTGGTATAATATTATATATGTGATAACACAATTTATGATTTTGTTTCAAATGTAATCTGCAGATATGTATCACATATTAACGGATTGTATTTCCTGACAACCACAGTTGACAAAAACTAGTGTACTTTTCAACGTCAAGCATCTGAGAGTGTCATTTTCTAGAACATGAAATGTTAGTTCTAAATGAACTTAAAAAAAAAAAAGTCAGTGTTAGAATTTAGTTTCACTAGGTGGGTAAGATACATGCCTCATTAGCTCTATTCAAATTTGATATTCACTTTTTGCGCATGTGGCACGCATCTACACCTGTCAGTGTAAAAAAAAATCTCCAGTGACAGTGCATATATGATTAATCCTTTCTAAATTTGCAAAATTTTTAGCAAAAAGATAAGTAGAAACTCGAGTAAAATAAAGTAATTGTAAATTAACTTGTTGAAGAAAAGGCAAAAGGTGGTCTTCAGAAGTTGGTAAGGGTAACTGTCTGCTATTGTTTATAATTTGTAGCAACTTACGTAAAGTTGTATGAATTCAGCCTTTTTTCTTTTTTGTATTTTATTGGGATGAGCAAAGAATGATGTGTTGAAGCATCTTTTAGCCATGTTCAGGCTCACATTTGTTCAAGTTTCTTCTTTAAAACCATCCCCCAGCATGTGACAGTTTGCCCTCTTTTTCTTCTGGTATTTGAGAGTAAAATGGTGGAGTCATCAAGGAAAGAGAGAGAAAGAGAAATATTTAACTGCTATCTCAATACCCAATGATATGTCTTGAGCTATTCAACACTTTCATCTTATTGAAAATGGTCTTCAGTTATTTCTCATCTTTGTTAATTGTGTTTGATTGTTCACTCAGGTGTACAAGCGCAGTTACGATGTCTGCATGCAGCTTTATGAGAAGGAGCTTTTGACCGATCGTTCATATCTTCATATCTATGGGTATGTTCTGGATTTAGCGATATTAGTGTGGCTATAAGCTTTAGATGAAAGTTTATTGATTTTTCTAATATGCCTTTTTAGTTTTGAGTGTTCATCAAGAAAATGTCCATGTTTCTGCCATTACTTGTATTACCGTGTTTGTTATGCATGGCCTACCTTTTGTAATGCAGGTTACAGGGTGCTGATCTTAATGCTCAGCAGCTTGCTGTTGTTGCTGTAAGTTACTGCTTTCTTTCATAGTCTTCTCTCCAATGAGATAAAGTAACCATCATTCTAGAGCCTTGTAATGTTGTATCTGATCCAGTCACAGTTAGCACGTATGTGCTAGCGTCTCTCTCTCTCTCTATTCAACACTTTCATCTTATTGAAAATGGACTTCAGTTATTTCTCATCTTTGTTAATTGTGTTTGATTGTTCACTCAGGTGTACAAGCGCAGTTACGATGTCTGCATGCAGCTTTATGAGAAGGAGCTTTTGACCGATCGTTCATATCTTCATATCTATGGGTATGTTCTGGATTTAGCGATATTAGTGTGGCTATAAGCTTTAGATGAAAGTTTATTGATTTTTCTAATATGGCTTTTTAGATTTGAGTGTTCATCAGGAAAATGTCCATGTTTCTGCCATTACTTGTATTACCGTGTTTGTTATGCATGGCCTACCTTTTGTAATGCAGGTTACAGGGTGCTGATCTTAATGCTCAGCAGCTTGCTGTTGTTGCTGTAAGTTATTGCTTTCTTTCATAGTCTTCTCTCCAATGAGATAAAGTAACCATCATTCTAGAGCCTTGTAATGTTGTAACTGATCCAGTCACAGTTAGCACGTATGTGCTAGCATCTCTCTCTCTCTCTTGTTTAATGTGTGGTTCTTTCAGGATTTTCCTCCCATCTTCAGTTAATTAATGATTAATTTCTCTCTGGGCTTTAACATGTGATTGGGTTACCTTACACTATAATTAAATCCTTTGCAGGGTCTATGTGAATGGAGGGATGTTGTAGCCCGTGCCGAAGATGAGAGTACTGGCTATGTATTGCCAAACAAAACTCTTATTGAAATTGGTATGTGGAAACTGATTATTTTAAGTCTCCTCAAAACGTGGTTTGCTGAGTTGCCAACAAAGTTACTGATACATGTCAAACTTTCTTCATCCTCTTTTGCCAATACAAAAAGCCAAACAGATGCCTCTCACGACTAGCAAATTGAAGCGATCATTAAAATCAAAGCATCCATATATCGAGCGGAATCTTGGTTCTGTTTTAAGCATCATTAGGCACTCCATGCAAAATGCAGCTGCATTTGAAGTTGCGGCTCAGCAGCTAAAAGAACAGCATGTGGAAAGAGTAAGACTTCATTGCCTTAAGCTATAAATTTTTTTCTATCATACAGGGATGTTATGATGTTTTTATCTTTTATTTTATTTCATAGTATAGTAGTTGTAATCTGAAGCTTCACAACTGAATCAGTTGTGTTATTTCAATATTCTTTTGTTGATACATTTGCTGAAAATTTTGAAACTATCTGCTTTCAAGTGTTGAATAGAATTCTGAATGGGGCGTGGACAAGTGGGAAGGCAAGGGTATTTTCCAAAGATTAAGTTACGCTTTCTTTTGGTTTTGGAAAGTGTACTTTTTTTCAACACAATTTCTCGTGCGGTTGTTATTAATGTGGGCTTGGACTAATTTAACCATTTATGGGGAGAAAATTCAGAATTAATGAACAGCGCTGTGGTACTTAAAAGCACTTTGAATTCAGGTGTCAACCTGCATTTGTTTTTCTTAAAAAAATGCTAGCTTGCAATATGGATGAATATGCTCTTCTGCACCTCGCTTTTGATTCACACTTAATTCTCGTAATCCAGTATGTTGTGATTTAGTAATTTGATATCCAATTAATTCAGGCAACTGAAAATATTTTAGTTGCTGAAGTAGATGAAGTTTTGCCCTCTGAAGCTCCTGAGATTTTGAAAACTGTTGGAGATGCTGAAGGTGTTACTCTTGGGACTTTATCATCTAACACCATGCTTGGGCATTCAATGGTTTCTGTACAGCAAGAAAACAAGTTGGTCGACCCAGGATGTTCAACTGGAGGTATTACAGCAAATTCACAGGCAATTCACAAGTCTCCTGGTGAAAGTGGAAGCATAAATAGTGCAGCTGATAGTTACACTGCTGCCATCCCAAGGGCAGCAGCCTGTGGTGCATCTGAATCTTCTGGAGAGGTAGATACCACGATAAAAACGTTGCCTCATAAGCTACAATTGTTTTCTGTAACAGTATTGTTACCATATTTTGTTTCTTGTAGGCTGGAGCCAGCATTCAGGTTCTGAAGAAGCCAAGCCGTGGTTTTGGGGCCCTGCTAGGAGGTTCTACAAAAAGAAAGCTCCATCCTGATATAAAGGTAATTTGTAATAGTTTGCTTTCTCCGAAGTAATTGGTTTTGATGCTCAGTTGTAATTATCTACGCTTTCTAAAAATGTTGGTACACCTCTGTGTATTTGTGATTGTGTCTGTATGGGTGTTTGCATGTGCACGTGCATGGCGTGTTTGTGGTTTTTGTGGTTCACATGTTTAGTTTGTATGGTACCCATTCACTGGCAGCTTATCGGATGTGATGGCATGTCGGACTTTCCAATGTCATAGGCTAGCTGAGTTGGTATTCAATTATTGATGATTTAGTTGAAGCTCTGCATAAATTTGCTGATATCTTGTTAAAAGTGTTTGCCCATGTAGTGGTTCAGATATCTTATCTTTTCAGCCAGACTCATTTCTTTTTGTTTGTAATTAATATGAGCACCAGGAAGATCAAAAGCTGGAAGAGATCAAGTCCTCGGTGAACCTTCCATTCCATGCATTTCCAAGCAGTGGTGAGCTGCTGCAGCCAGCTGCACAAGAACGTGCTGCACTAGTGGATACTTTACACAATGGACAACCTGTGTCAAATAGTTCAAACTTGGAAGATTTCATATTGCTGGGAGCTGGATCTGATGTTGAATCAGGAGATGATGGCACTGAAGCTGTGAATGTAGTGGTGGATAATAAGGAGGACAATGCTGTAGGTTCTACCTTGGATATGGAAGAGGAAGAGGGAGAGGGAGAGGATACTATGTCTCTATCTGATTTGTCTTCAAGTTTCCAGAAGTGCCTTCCCTCAATCAATCGAGTGAGGGATGGCAAACTTGTTGAGAAACCCCAAGAAAGTGCGGGCTTACTCCAGTTTAAGCCTTTTGACTACGAAGCAGCAAAGAAGCAGGTAATTTTCAGGGAAGATCCTAGTCCAAAGGCTGAGGATAGTAGGAGTAGGCTTACCAAGGGAGATAAGAAATCACAGAAGGAAGATGGGACAAGAGATTTACCACAGGGTAGGAGGCGCCAGGCCTTTCCAGCGTCAGGAAATCGAACTGCAACATTCCGCTGATTCTGGGCCTGGAGTGTCAGGTCAAAATTGATTAATACTTCTCTCCATTGTAAAGCAATTGAAACCCATGTAGTTTACTAGATGATTTAGTTGCTGGAATTCGATATAAAATTATCTATTATCTAGATTTCAAATGCTGTGCCTAGTTTCATTTGGTTTGTCAAGGATACACAAGTACTTCTTGATACAGGCAGGTGCTTTTATGAGCATTAGGCCATCTTGTTCGTTAAGAAGTCGTTGACATTTGAAATAGTTTTCTGCGAGGTGCCACACTTCATAATGCAGGAAGTGCAGCAATGTGTCTCGCAGTCCATCTGAGCTTTGGGAAGAGTTGTGCTAGAGATTTGAAGTCTGTCTAGTTACGCACTACTGGGTTAGAGAACTTGTCCTGTGTAACAGGCTAACAGCACATATTATGGTGAACTGGGGTTGAATGTAGAGGTGAATTTGTATCAGAAATGGAATGCGAGCTAGATTTTGGTCCGTTGGAAACCTTTAGAAATCTGGCAGAACTGTAGCTAGATGCTGGGAGTGCTAGGAAAATGACTCGAGTATCCACCGTCATGAACCTAACGGAAATTGCAAAGAAATGAAAGATAACAAGATGTGACGTACATGGAAGCTATCTCACCGTAAAACAATTTATTAAGGGTTACGGAAAATTTGGTGAAAGGGAATGGGAAGATTCAAAAACAATGAGGATGTAAGGATGTGTATCGGGAAATTTAGAAACAGGTTCATACATTGTAAAAATAGAATTTGTGTTGTAAACAAAATCATGAAATTATCCCTTTTTTTACACCTTTCCATTCCTCTTCATACTTTTTTTGCCCTCAACAACTAAATGGTATAATATTTGAACCTTAAACCTAATATTGGAGAGAGCTCTTAAGAGCCCTCCTTGATCACCAAGCTAATCCCAGTGATTTCATGAAATTACATTTTATGTGCATATAGTAGCCCTGATGTGCACAATTGAGTACATGTATTGCATAAAATCATGAAATTATCTTTTTATGTGCATGTACTAGCACTCGTGCACAATCTTGTACATATATTTGCACATATATCGATTTAGCCCTCATGTGCACAATCAAGTACATATATTTGCACGTATATCAATTTAAATGTGTACATTTGAACGTACAACTTGCATATTTTTTGATTAAAGAACATGCTGTTGTTGACTAAATTCTGTCACGAGGTGATTTATTAATTTAGTGATAATATTGTTAGTTATTTTTATTCATAAATAGTAACCAGAATCCATTCACAAAGTTTCCAAAACTTGTACCAATCATGAATTTTGAATCTTCCTATCCCCATCTTCAAATTTTTTCCTAAGGATTAGCGCATGAAGATTAATCTTGGTTCAAGATTGAGTCATTCAATTGGGTGCTTTCGCATGATTTAAGCTTCAAAGTTGGTGGATAACTCGGAGGGGAACACCATGCGATGCATGGTGAAAATTTGCAAATTGCCCAATCCTGTCCATCTAACTTACAAATTATTGTGATGATAGACGTTGTATTATTTGGGGCCATATAATTAGGAGGCATATAATTAGTAAAAAGAATTATTGATTTAAAGAGGCGAGTGAAAATTGCAATTCATTGTCATTAAGAATACAACTCACCATAACTTGACAAAATTAGGAATCATTAAGTAAAGCAAGCCAACTATTCTCTTAACAAATTTAGCAAGTTAGCAAAATGTTGGACTCAGTCATAGCTCGGGAAATCCTCATCAATCCATTTTAGCTGTGAGGAATAAAGACAAGCTACATTAAATGCTATCAATGATACAGTTAACCAAGCACAGTGTGAGGACTCGCAAAATTTTCTTATTTAAATTCTTATTTCGAGCTCATTTAATTATTTATTTGGCCAATTGCCTCGAATATTATTTTCTAACATTATTAGACTTAAATACATGGAATTATGGCTTCATTATGTTTTTAAAGTGACTCGTTTCAAAAAATTAATTTTTGGAAGCTCGATTAATGAAAATAGTGAAAACACGTTTGAGAAATTTTTAGCCAATTAAGAGTACATTAAACTCGGAAAATTGGAGACATGTACAATGTTCTTAAAATAGGTAAATTTAGGTTTAAGTACTCAAGTGATAGTTAGTGGTACGATCGTTATAAGAATTTCTCGAAAGTTTCACTTTATCGCGCATAAATTGGAAATACGCATTTTCACGCGCGCGTTTAATTGAGGGACTTTAGACCATTATTTTGGGACAATTAAGAGTGAATAATATTTATATGAATATAAGTGCATTAGAGGTTTAGTGCACTAGTGAAATAAATTCGAGAGGAATCGAGCACAAAACGCGCGTGTACGCACACTATTCCTAGTTGACTTTTGAAACAAACTTTGGCCAAATCTTAAAGCTTCTCACGGAAGCTTATCATCAGCAATTGCTCTTCTTTTTCTGCTCTCATCAGCCGGCCATCAAGCTGCAACAACAACCCAAGACTTCTCAATTTCTCCATCTCCAAATCTTGCACAAATCTTCATAGATTCACACCAAACTTCACATACACTTAGCTCTACACTTGGACACCACTTTGAGCTTCAAAAGGGAGGAGCTTTCACGGTTTCTTGGAGCTTCAAGGAGGGCCGAAATTCTGGTTTTAAGCACACCAAGGAGGTATATAGTGATCTAACACTCTAAACTTGGTTTATAAGAGTTGATTTACACTTGTAGGCTTGGATATTCATGTGGATGACTTGGTTATGGTGTAAAATGAAATGGGTGGGCTCTATGAACTCCCATCTTTGTCTTGGAAGCTGATCTTATGCTTGATGATGTTTATAATGTTGTATTAGTATTTAAACTAGTGGATTATTGGTGGAAAATTGATGGAAGCTCATGAGGGGTGCAAAGGCCAAATCTGACCATTTTGCCCCTGCTTTGTTCGGCCACTTTAATGCAAAAATTTGAGGATTTAATGGCTTGATTGTGTTGTTTACATGTTGTAGTAGTTGTATAAAAATTTTCATTGAAAAATACTGAGTTTTGGCTGGTCAAATGAATTTATTTCCCAAAGCTAGTAATCTGGAAACTGATTCCGTAATGCTCAGATCAGTGTTCATATTTTGTCTATAACTCAGTGGTCCGACATCGAAATCAAGTGCCGTCAGCGGCATTTGAAACTAGACATTCCCACCTTTCCAACGGTATAAAATGCACATTCAGGTTCCATGTGTGTGAGCGGCACCACTCTTCTGAATTCAGCTGTTCTGTTTCTCTGTTCTTCTGGAATGAAATACAGAAGCTGTCATTTGAAGCTCGATTTCGAGCTAGTTGTATGCCGAATTTTAAAATGATTTCTTCTGTGAACTTATAGCTCTATGAATGTGTTTTCCAACGCTATAAACCATGCCCAATTCCGAGTTAATGTGAGTGACTTGTGATCAAAATACAGAGCCTGCCCTGCTCTTGAAAACCCTGACTTTTGGACAGATTTGATGCAATGCTTGGTATAGACTCGCTAACTGAATATTTTGGTGCTAAACACCTACTAAATGTACCATGTATGTTCCTTAGACCTTTCTTGCACAAATGAACCATGTTTGGAGGTTTTCCTTAGCCGAATGTTTGGAAATCAAGAGAAAGGGAACTAAAGGCAGTTTTGCCTTAGTAATTTCAAAACTTTGGTTGATTGGTTAACCACCTTCCCGAAGGTATTTTTCCACGAAATTTGATAGAGAGATACCCTTCATATAGGAGTACTATACTGCAAAAATTGGTACCAATCCAAGTCTGTTTCGATACTTAACTAAAGGTCCAAAGTCGGAAACCCAAATCTGGAAATTGTTCAACAGTCTTGAATTTTCCCTAACTTTGAGCCACCATATCTCGGTGCTCGAAACTCCGATCCTTGATCTGCTTTTTCTGTTATAAACTTACTTTCAACTCTAATTGAGTTACAAATTTCAGAGGCTAACTCGCAACGTGTGAATTTTGCCGAATTTCCAAAGTTAGCGAAAAAACCAACCCCGGCTCAATTCTGAGTGTTCTGGAACAGCAACTTCATGCCCATTTTTGAATACCTTCCACTTAGATTCATGGAAAAGTGTATTTTATGAACTTTTAGTACTTTGTAGGAGGTTTCCAACGGTACCAAGTTTTCTAATTTTGGACCTAGTGAGTGCAAGATCTGATTTTTCTAAATTTGACGCGCAAAATTGAAATTTGCCGATTTCTTAGAAAATGAAAATTTGAAAACTCGTTACTCCTTCTTGATGATAATTGGTCACTTTAAACTTGATTTCATGAAGGAAATCAGTTTTTCTTGTGTTAATAAAACCTCACTTTTGAACCTTTATTTTGAGTGGCTAAGGTTCTTGGTTTGAGGTATTGACTAGTCCAAATGAGCGTAACTCCTTTCTTGATTAATACGTGATTGTGAGTGAAAAATACTTGTTAATTGCTTCAGGTGCTCAAACGAGTCTTGAAGAGAATCCCGGAGGGAACAACTAAAGATTTTCTCGCTCAATTACTTTTGAATTGGTGAGTGTCAAGTGCATGACTTGTCGTGTTTACTTGATTTTCCTACTCATATATGTGAATATCACTTGATGAGACGAGTGTGTACTTTATCGCACTCGCTCTCTTTTACTCGAACTTTACTTGCATTAACTTGGTTTTCAAAGTCGATTTGAGTGAATCTCGTCGACTAAAATATACCCGTTTTCGTGTGCATGTCGTGTTGCCGTGCGTGTTGTGTATGCTGTGCGTGTCGTGTTGTTGGGTGGAGTGAATCTCCTCGACTTATGGGGACGCCCAATTCTCTTAGCCAATTTTGCAACTCGAGTCAGCATGGGCTTAGTCGAGAAGCTTGATAAACCAAGAGAATAACAAAACACAACTTGATCTTTTGAGATCTTGTTCGACATACTCGTGGAGTATCGCCCTTTTCGTGCGTGTTCAAAAATCAAAACTTGATCTCTTGAGATCTCGTGAGGAATACTCGACGAGTATTGCCTTTTTCGTGCGTGTTTGGTTACGGATCTGAGAGGGTGGAATGTTGGTCGGAGGAAGTAATAAGTGAAGTTTCTACGGATATAATACCCACCCAGATGACGGAGTGTCATCACGAAGGGGTATCGGATCGAGCCATGGCGAAGCAAGTGGAAAATAACTCCTGAGAGCTCATATATTCTTGAATTGTTTCTGTTTAATTTTCTCGCTCGAATTGTTATATATTGAAATTGCATTGCTCTACTTGTTATATTGGGATTGTTACTTGGACAACGTGCTTGCATGTGTGTTTTCTTGGCCTCACGAGCTATTGGTTCACCCCGTAGATTTGTTTTCCTTAACAGGAATGGATGGAGTGAAACTCGATAGAACCCTTTGGATGTACTTTTGTATTAGGGTTTCAATTGTAATTGACTAGATATTTTGGCTATTGTATATATTTGGGAATTGATGTATCTTTTGGA